TAGGGAAATACAGATTTTTAAAAGGAAAAAAAGAAGTACCAGCTATAAAATTTACACTCAGGTAAACCTCCCTCAAGTCCTTCTTCTTGTGCCCACATTTATCAATCCTGATTTCTGTCAGATTCTGCAGGCAGGTGAGCCTTGCCTAAGCTGCAATATGTTGGTATAGGCAGTTGTGTTTAAAATTTAGCTTCATCAAACCCAAATAATAGTACCAGGTCAATAAGAAAGAGAGAGATGCAGAAGAAAAAAAGAAAGAGAAACCAAATATTAAAAATGGCTAGAGAATTTTATGAATGTATTTACTCCCAAGTTGGAGGGCTGCGTTGAGCTGCATAATTGTCATTTTGTCTTTCATTATCACTGCTTTTGCCCTTTAATTTTTTTTCTTATTCCCCCATTCCTCCCCGACCCCAGGCTATTCTTCCAAGGAGTTTGAGAGCTCCATGGACTTGTCTATCCTTTTTTCATTCTCTCTTAGTTTTTGCTTTCCTTCCCTGCCATATGTCCACTGCCTTGAAATGCAATTTTCATTATTTCAGTTCAGTATTTATTGAGCACTTACTATGTGCCAGGTATGGTGGTAGGAGGTGAAAATTCAGGGGAGAGTAAAACACAAATTCTGTGCTGATCAAGAGGATAGTGGGAGGTTCTGATTGGTTGGATATCTGAAGGCAGAGGTAGAGTTAGCTAAGTGACCAGTGCGTGTATATGTGCATGTGTAAAGGGCATTTCTGACAGGGAATAGCCTTTGTAAAGCTATGTGGTAGGAGTGAGCATGGAGAATGTAAGGAGGAGGACGGCCAAAGTGTCTAAAACTCCATTCCCTCAATGTAGAGCCCATCCCACATTAACACTTGCAAAATATAAAGCTCAGTTGCCTAACGCTTTCTCTTTGGCATACTCTCTGGGTATTCAGGTTCAATGATTCTGAAAAGCCTCCAGAGTCCCAGTGATTTACCTTTTCTCATCATGTCTGTAAGAGGAAGAGGTCCGGCCACTGGTCCATATAAACATCTTAGACGATGTTGGTCCAGGGGCTCCTTTCCTTATGGTGGAAGTCCTGGAAGAACGGTGAAAAGACCTAGAAGAGGTACACACTGAAATTAAATCCAGTACTCAAAGTTTGGGGAACTGTGTATCAATAGCAACTGGTAACTCTCAGTGGATTGACCATGTTAAATAAGACCAGGTTTCTGTTGCTGTAGGGCAGTTGTTCTCAACCCTGGCTGCACATTAAAATCAACTGGGAATCTTTTAAAAAGCACTGAAGCCTGGGTGCCTCCCTCAGAAATGTGCATTCAATTTTTTTTTAAGCCTCCTAGTTGTTTCTAATGCACTGCTAGGATTAAGAGCCACTGCATTAGGGAAACACAGTTTTCTAATTGATGTTATTACCATATTCCCTCTAAGATGTCTCCTCCAAAAATATAATTTGGTACAGTTTATTATTCTATATTTTCCCAAAATTTTGGTTCAGGTTTGGTTCTATTTTTTTTTCTGTTTCTCTGTTCCTCTTCAAACTGTTTTCCTTGATGCTGACAGATGTGACATCTTACTGACGAGAGATCATCTTTTAAATGTGTTCAACTGTTGCCAAATCTGTGGGTTCATCCCTTGGCAGTTGAGTCTCGGAGAAAATCATGGCAGCAGCGGCAGCAGATATTCTCTGGCTCCTAACGGCCAGGTTTATAGGATCCAGAGTCAAGATACTAGAGGACTGTTGTATTCTTTCAGTCATGACTTGGCTTGGGGATTAGTTCTGTCATCTTGAAGTTATAAATATGAAATATCATAGAAATCTTAATCACATATAAAAGTTAAAATGATATTTAACAAATAGAACAAAGGAAGGAAGAAAGGTGATTCCTTCATGGATGCATAGTCACTCATGGCTTTCCTTTTGGTTGAGCACAGTATTAATGGTAAGCATGAGACTGGAAATAATATTAACTACTATATACTGTATTAGATACTACATGCTAGACAGTTTGCATATATTATCTATGTATATATCATGAAATGTATATGCCTATATCTATGTTATGCTCATGTTATGAAAACCCTGCAAGGTAGATAATGCTATTGTTTTTAGATTAAAAATGATGCTTCTAGGAGATTTAGAAAAGGTGGACCCATGTCTACTTGTCTCCAATACTCATGCTTTCTGGGGAAAGACACATTACTGTCTAGCCCAGTGATTCTCAACGTGCATACGAATTACCTGGGGATCTTGTGATCATGCAGATTCTGATTCAGTGAGTCCGGGGAGGGGGCCCAAGATTCTGCATTTCTAACAAGCTCTCAGTGATGCTGTTATTGCTGGTCTGCAGGAAACACTAAGCAGCTAGGGCTCAGAGCATGTACTACGAGTCAGTAGTTGGTTATTGGCCCCCTGTTTTTTTCCTTTAAACTAACTAGCTGTGTGGCCTTGAGAAAGTCACTTATCTTTTCTAGGGCTTAGTTGTTTTTAATCTGTAACATGGAAAGTTTGAAATTGATAACATCTGAAATCCCTCTCAGCTCCAAAATTTTGTGACTCAGTAAATTGAAAAATCAGTGGAAGCGTATTTTAAATCATTGTCTACTGACTTTCTGTAAATAAATCTGGAAATAGATCTCCTTCTGTAACCCTTGGGTCAGCATCAGAGATAGAAGGAACAGAGACCATGGGAGATGGTTGGGGTTTGACAACCAGTATAGATGTAAGAAGTCATACTTCCACCTTGGTCTCCCAGGATGAATGACCAGAATGAAAAGATATACCTGAATGGATGCCCTAGACATTTTCAGAAAGATTTAGAAGTTGAATCTGCTAGCTCTTTAAATGACTGGATGTGGGATATTTAAAATTATTTAGGTTTCCTTTTGAATATCTTTAAAACACATAGAATAGGAATTAAATTTGTTATTAAAACTAGTCAGTATCAGGAAATAAGAATGATTTTAATGTAAGCTGAATGAACTACTTGATGAGAATGAGGATTGGCTTAAACTTTCAGGAAGCTATTTCAACATTGACTCTGGTGGCATCTTCTGATCACTTTAGTCACTCCTCAAGGATTGGGTTGGAGCAGACAAAGAAAAGTGTCACACGTTCAGTTCAGGGAAAGCAATAAATTACTGAGCTCCCATCCTGTTACTGGTTATTAGCCAGCATTTAATAGGCACACAGCCCATATTATAAATGCTTTGAAATCAAAGTGAAAGGGGTTGCAGTGATTTTAATATACTTAGGATACTCTTCAGACTGTGTGTCATTATTTCAGCATTGCACCCTTGCTCTGTTGTTTGAAGATGATACAGAAAGGAAGATATGAAGGGTATACTTATTCTAATTAACTGTCTAAAATTTGTTGGAAAGGACTTAATGACTCCTCAGCTTATCCTAAGAAGTGGATTTGGAGTTTTTCCACCCCAGTTTTCTTTCACAAAGACAAACCGTTATTTAAAACCTGCTAAGTTTGTTGTTAATTAAAATTGAAGGGAGTAGCTTCTTTAAGGATAACACAATAAAGGTTCTGTAGAGGTTGAAAAATGTTCCAGGCTTCAGAGAAACACCGAGAATATGTTAACGGGAGCTGGTTTGGTGGTTCTCTCAGCTCAAATGCAGCCCTCCTGAGCTCCTCAAGTAATCACCTCAACTCCGCTCACTTCATAAGACAAGAAGCATCTCATTTGAATTGTGGTTAGAAAAGTGATATAGAGACAAAGAAAGCACTTTATAAAATTTTGTAATTTGGAATCTTAGCATGAAAAAGAGATCCGTGTTAGTGGATGCACAGGCCTGAGGGCAAGGGGAGGAGACCTGGACCTAGTTCCATCATTAAATGACCTGGGAACCGGGGTGAACCTGGCTGAGCCATGACTATATGATTGCAGATGAGTATAGTTTGAAAACTAGATGTCCTAGAAGACATAATCTTGGCCTTGAGTGAAAGCAGGAGTCAGGGAGAATGTAACCATTTCTTTGCCTCAGGAGTTTATAAAGGGCCCCTTTCCATTTCTCAGGCACACACCTCGGTGGGCTTCTACCTCCCTGACTCAGTTCACACTTTCTCTCTGCCTGCCTTTCCTGCCAGGTGAGTGCGTACCTCTGTTTCCAAGGCCATCTCAGATGTCATCTCTTCTGTGAAGTCTTTTCTGACCCACACAAACAGCTTCCTCAGCTCTGCTTCCAATTCTTGGTACTTACCTCTGTTAGAGCAATGCATTCCAGGGCAGGGCTGTGTCTTATGCATCTTTTAGCACAATGCAGGATACACAGTGACACACTGGTTGTGTTTGCTGCCTGCCTTGACCATATAAGTGTCTATTATTGGAAAGCATGACTGAAACAGTGCATACATAAAACATTGACCAGCTTAAACTGGTTTTGTTTCCCTAAGACATGTTGTTGATTAATCAGACCTGGAGTTATTTTACAGAGACAGCACTGCGTGTGCAAGACAGGAACTCATGTCTCCAGGATGACCCTGGACCAAGAATCTTCAGTCTGTGGAACTCAAAGAATAGACATTTGCCACCAGAGACCTTTATGAAGCGAGAAGTCCTTCAATAAGAAAAATCTGTCTTCCAGCAGCACCAGTAGTTTATATGGACTGATTTGAGACTCGTCAGTCAGCTTCCAAGTTCGAAATTCCTCTAACCCTTTAAATTTCACCTTGATCCCTGGATCTGGGAGACAGATTTGAGAGCCTTGCTTCCTGTCTTCTTGCTGGTCAACCTCACAGTGAAGCTCTTTCTTTTCCCAAAAGCTGCTGCCATTGTATTGGCTTTTATGGGCTTTGGGCAGCAAGCCCTTGCTTGGTAACAAGACCATGGGTACTGATGTCGGCCTCCTGTGTTGTGGCTCACTACTGCTGGCTGCAGCCACCCTCTCCTTCCAGATCCTTTCCTTAGTTCGGGATGCCGTTCCTTCTTCCCACTCCCCACCTCCTCTCTTTCCTTCTCCTGATTGTCCTGCTCCCTCTGTGTCTTTTATTGACTTGGACAGAAAGTTTCTGTTGCTTGCTGAATTATCACTCAGTAAGGTTTTCTTTAGAAAGGGCAGCATGATCTAATGAGAATATGGGAAGGAGAGTCAGACGGGGACTCTTTGTTTGCCTCCTGGCATCACCACCTACCAACTGTGTGACTTTGGACAAGTCAGTTTAACATCTTTGTGTCTTAGTTTCCCCAGCTGTGAAAATGGGAATAATAATACTTGCCTTTCTGGGTTGCTTGGAAGATTAATGGGTTAATAGATGCAAAAGTACCTAAGGTAAATCAAGGCACATTCTAAACATTAATTTACTTCTTTTCCCCTTGTTAATAATTTTAAGAGCAAATGAATTGGATTTTATATTTTTGTAAAAAAAAAAAAAATCCAGTTAAGGTGCTTTGTACTTGTACATTGAGACTATTGATTTTTTTGCTTATGGGTCAGTGGCAGAGGGAAAACAGTTTTCTGAGATATTGAGATAATGACATCTGAAATACTTCCTCATTCACCTTGATACCCATCCCAGCAAGAGGAGCATAAACGTGGTGGCTCTGAACACTGGCTGAACAGTATAATCATCAGGTGGAATGAAAAAAAATCCTGGGGCCTAGATCTCAAGTCAGACCCTTGAGAGTCTCTGGGGGTGGGTCCCTGGCATTGGAATTTAAAAAAAAAGCTTCCCAGGTGACTCTGATGTGCAGCCAAGGTGGGAAACACTGCTACAAACTCTCAGGTTCTGGTTTCATTTGAGTTCTTTATGGAGACTCCCCCTGCTTCCAGAAGCTTCAGCTGGAGAGTAACAGTTCTATGAGTGCTACTCTGTGCAGTGGCTTCTCTTTTCCTATCAGTGCTGAGGCCTCGAGGTGACAGCTGCAAGGACAAGTGGCATACGAGGCAGGGAAAGAGCAAAGTAGATGCGGTTTTCTAGTGTCAGTGGCCTTGAGCTGTGCATATGGGATACTCTTAATGCACTCTCCTTTATTAAACAGCAAGCAGGAGCCAGTGGAACTATTTAACACCTAATTACATGTCTAATCTTGTGTAAAATTGTAACACTAATGACATCACAGCAGCAACTTAAAAGGCCACTCAAAGCACAG